GGGTAGGAAAAAAATCCACATATAACTTTTGACTTCCCAAAAACTTAACTGCCAATAGCCTACTATTGACCAGAAGTCTTACTGATAACATAAACAGCTAAATAACACATATTTCGTGTTCTAAGTATCATATACTATATTTTTACAATTAAGTCAGCCAGAGAAAAGAAAATAATAAGAAAAATATGCTTACTATTCATTAAATGGGTAATCAGAAAGAACTTCATCCTCTCTGTTTTCACATTGAGTAAGCTAAAGAGGAGTTGGTCTTGTTGACTCAGGGATGGCAGAGGTGGGTGAAAGTTCCATACAAGGACCTGAACAGCTCAAATCCATGTTGTTCAAGGGTCAACTATAACTGGAGTCTGTTGAGCTTCTTTAATGTGTTGATTAATGTTTTTCATCAAAGTTGGGGAGTTTTGACCATTATTTTGTCAAGCATATTTTTGGCTCCTTTTTCTTTCTTCTGAGACTACCATTATGTATATACTGGTATGCTTGATGGTATCCTATAGATCTCTGAGATTCTGTTCATTTTTGTTCATCCTTTTATCTTTTTCTTTCTTTCTCAGCCAGATTTTCTCAATTAATTTATCTTCAGTTTCACTGATTCTTTTTCAAATCTGCTCTTGAACCCCTATAGTGAATTTTTTTGTTTCAGTACTTTTTGATGCTAGAATTTCTATTTGGTTCTTTTATTTAAAAAGAAATTATCAAAATTTCTATTTCTTTATTGATATTCTCTCTCTCTTTTTCTTTTCTCATTTAGCAAAGTTTGTATTCAAAAACTTCTCAGCACCATCTAGTTATCAAAAAGAATGGATATCACCTTTTTCTGCCCACCCAACCCCCAGTTCCAAAGGCAGAAGTTAAACCATTTGGCTAGAGCTCCCCCTAATGATTATAACTGAGACCATGATAAGATTTTGGTTGTTATTATCCAACGGTCTCCAAGCCTCTACTCAAACCTGACTCAAGCAGAGCTGTGCTCCCCATGGTTCAGAAGAGGAAGGAATCATGTCAGACCTGATCAACCTCCCATTCTTGGGCTATTAGAGGCACAAGAAATTACCTTCAAAAAATGAAATTCAGTGACTGTTATCGAGAAAAGAGTGATACTGTCTGGCAGCATGCAGTTCCGAGAGCTCAATTTTCAGGCCGCCCTCGCCTCCACTCTACTCTAGGAACAAGGAGCATTAAGTCTATTTACTCTCCATATACCTCAATCGCTCATCCTCTCTTGTCTTATTAAAACACAGACACAGAACCAAACTTTTTGACAGAGTTAAAGACAAACAATTACATCTGGTTAAAATGCTATAAGAGATCTTGAGCTGTTAGAGAGTAGATAGTATGACCTGATCGTTCCCTTTTTATTTTCTTTAAGAGTATTCTGTTTCAGCATAAAGCACATTTTCTGAAGAGGTTCCTGGAGGAGGGCAGAAATCTGACTGTGTCTTGTAGCAACACAGAGTCCCTTGCATAACTTTGGCTTCAGTCCCCGGATCTGTCCTTTGCAGCTACGTCAGATTCCATAGGAGGAGGAAAGAGCTGGAGGCAGTATCACTCAGCCAAAGCTCCCATGGGGTCCCATGCTGGCAGGACAATGGGTTCCTGCCCTAACACAGCTAGCACCTCTTCAGGGACATGTGTCCTGTCCACCACCACCTCATAGACATACTCAGAGAACCACTTATCTGTCATGCAGAGGTAACCTTTGTGGCCATGGCCTTCACCCCATGAATTCTCCACTCTCCACTTTGTGAAAGCACCATCCTGACCATCCCTCTCTGAGACAGCAGTGAAGGTCATGGTGTGGGTCATAAGTGAGTCACCAAAAGTCAGTCTCTCCGCTTTATTCATGTTCTTCAAGGAGACACCAAACACTAACTCATGGTCCTAGACATTCATGTCACTGAGGCCCAGCTTGCCATTGAAGTGTTTTCCAACATCACAGCCAAACCACACAGCCTCTCCATCTTTGATGGTGGCAGCAACCATCTTTTTCAGGAAGTCAATGGCTGTTGTACAGAGTTTTTCTCCCTCCAACCATATTGCTTAAGTATTCCACCGTGTAAAGTTTGTTGTACTTGTGCTGGGGCCTAGGGTCATTCACCAAACAAATCTTATCTTCCATATTGAAGAGTGGCTTGACATGTTCCCTGTAGAACTCCAAGGGTGTTGTGGGGCCAATCTTCTGATAATTTTTATCTTTGTCTTGCTACTCCCAGGTGAATGTCTCTGGTGCATTACCCCAACAGACGCACACCACTGGGAACATCTCCTCCATCATGGCCTCCTGTGTGGCTGAGATTTCTCCTTTGGTTGCTCCACTGTGTACCAGTTCCATAGTTGTATACAGAATTCTCTCATCTTGTGATTCGAATATCATTCATCCTTTTGGTTGCCTCTGTTGTATAAGATTCAGGGAAGCATTTATTAAGGATAACACGGTATTTTGCAACAATATTGACAAGCATATCCCATTGGCCACCATCATTTGCAGGGTTCATAAGCAAACACTGCAGCAGCCTCCCATCCTCAGGCTCTTTTCTATGGGCAGCGTCCACAAAAGCATTCAAGAAGAAATAATAGCGTTCAACCTTGTCCCCAAAAAACAGGTAAGATTGCCTAAACTCAAATTCTTCAATATTTAATTTTTTTACGAATGGAAGCCTCATAGCATTCAGACAAGGAAAGATCCAGCATCGCCCTGTGCTCTTCTGCTTGGTGACGGGCTTGCTTGCCTTCCTGAGGCACCGTGTGCTGGAACGGATGCTGTGCGCGCTGCACCGTGGCCCGCTTCAGGCAGATATCCAGCAGGTCGTGGTGGTCCCGACATTCTGGGCAAGTACCAACTCGGGGTCAGAATTCAGTTTCTGTATCAGAGCAACTATCTTCTACGAATTCAGTCCTGCGCTGCCCATAGCGCCCACGCTGCCCGGCGGGGTAACAGTAGCTTCCAGGGTCCTCGGGCGAGCGCAGGGGTCGCGCTGCGGCTTACTGCCTAGGTGGCCCCCCTTGCCTCCTATTGATATTCTCTCTTAAGTTTTATATCATTTTCATACTTTGGTTCTTTTGACATAGTTTCCTTTAGTTCTTCAAACATTTAATATAGCTGATTTAATAACTTAGCCTCGTAACTTTAGCATTGAGACTTTCTGAGGGACCGTTTCTATTAACTGCTTTGTTTCCAGTATATGGGCCCTACCTTGACTCTCATAATTTCCTGTTGAAAATAGTCATTTTAAATAATATAATGTAATAACTATGGAAATCAGACTCTCTCCTTTCCCAGGGTTTATTAATATTGCTGGTTATTTGTTCTGTTTCTCAGTAACTTTCCTAAGCTAATTCTATAAAGTCTCTATCCTTTTTCATGTGTGGTCATTGAAGTCTCTGTTCAGTTAGCTTAGTCATCAGCTTTGAATTGCAGAAATTTCCTCAAATGTCTGCAATCAGTAAGTCTCCCAGGCTTTGCTGAGGGTCCCTGTGTCTACACTAGGGCAAACCTTTAACACTCAGCAGGCAGTTTACATCTCTGCTTTAGCTGTAAATTCTTGCTTATGCAGACTCAAGGCCAGTCAGAGGTAAGAGCTTAGGGCCTTCTCAAGTCTTTTCTGACCATGTGCATAACTCAGGCATGTCCACAGTTCTCTGCATTGGGAGTAGCCCTCAAAATTTCCAGGTATATGTCAAAGCTTTTCAGATCCTTTATATGGACATCTCATTCCCCAGATTTGAAGTTCTTCAGTCATTCTTGTTTGTCCCAAATGTTATTACCACCATAAATAGCCAAATATACATGCACACACATGTGTGTATATGTGTGTGTGTGTGTGTGTGTGTGTGTGTGTGTGTGTGTGTGTATGTATATATAAAAAACCCTTAAATGACATTGGCTTAAACTGTGCAGGTCCACTTATACACAGATTTTCTTCCAACTCTGTCACCCCTGAAACAAAAAGACCAATCCCACCTCTTCAGCCTACTCAATGTTGAGTAGGATGGAGACCTTTCTGGTGATCCACTTCCACCTAATGAATAGTGAATACATTTTCTCTTCCTTAATATTTTCTTAATAATATTTTCTTATTTTCTCTAGCTTGCTTAATTACTATACAGTATACAATACATGTAACATACAAAATATGTGTTAATTGACTATGTCATCGATAAAGCTTCATATCAAAAGCTATTAGTAGTTAAGTTTTTAGCATGTCAAAAATTATATGTGGCCAGGCGCAGTGGCTCATGCCTATAATCCCAGCACTTTGGGAGGCTGAGGTGAACAGATTGCTTGAGTCCAGAAGTTCAAGACCAGCCTGGGCAACATTGCTGGACCCTATCTCTACAAAAAATACAAATTAGCCAGGTTGGTATTCATCTGTGGTTCCAGCTACCCGGGAAGCTGACATAGGAGGATTGTTTGGGCCTGGGAGGTCAAGGCTACAGTGAGCCATGATCGTGCCACTGAGCTTCAGTTTTCTGAGTGACAGAGCAAGATCCTGTCTCAAAAAAAGTTACATGTGGATTTCAGCTCCATGGGGTCAGTGTCCCTAAGCCCCATGGTGTTCAAGGGTAAACTGTATAAAGATATATAAACACAGACACAGATACACACACACACACAGAGAAAACAAAAACTGAGAGGACTCCAAGGAGGAAAAGACAATTCTACCAAGCATGGTGGGAAATTTCATTTATTGTTTTTTACTATAAACTAAAACACAGATAAAGAGTAACATATAAATGTGCAGCTTAAAAAATGTGTAGCTTAATGAATTATTAGAAAATGACCACCCTAAAACTATGTCAGAGGAGCATGCAATTCATTGTATTTCTCTGAATCTTCTATTTCTTGCAAGTTAGCCGCTAGATTCAGAGGTCTGAACAGAATCAGGGTCATTCACTTTGGCCAAACCATATAGTGTTGTGGTCTTTCATTAAGAGGCACATCATGTCTAGTTGTGATATTAACAATTATTGCTGGCGTCCGGGTCAGCTGCTGCCGCCGACGCCATGCCGCTGCTGCTGGGGGATTGGGCCGGGGTCTCCACCACCGACCAAGGGGAGCGGGCTCCGCTCGGCGCCGCTTTCTGCAACCTGGCCATCAGCCCCACGTCGCCTGCCTGGAGGGGCGAGGAGGACAAGGGGGCCAAGTCTTCCTCCGGGGACATTGGCCCTGTGGATTATCAAGAGTTTGTAGTTGTCATTGAATCCAGGCTGAGGATGGAAGGTGTGGAACTTAAAGAAGAATGGCAAGATGAAGATTTTCCAATACCTTTACCAGAAGATGATAATATTGAAGCAGATATACTAGCTATAACTGGACCAGAGGACCAGCCTGGTTCCCTAGAAGTTAATGAAAATAAAGTGAGAAAGAAACTAATGGCTCCAGACATTAGCCTGACACTGGATCCTAGTGATGGCTCTGTATTGTCAGATGATTTGGATGAAAGTGGGGAGATTGACTTAGATGGCTTAGATGCACCATCTGAGAATAGTAACGAGTTTGAGTGGGAAGATGATCTTCCAAAACCCAAGACTACTGAAGTAATTAGGAAAGGCTCAATTACTGAATATACAGCAGCAGAGGAAAAAGAAGATGGACGACGCTGGCGTATGTTCAGGATTGGAGAACAGGACCACAGGTTTGACATGAAAGCAATTGAACCCTATAAAAAAGTTATGAGCCATGGGGGATATTATGGGGATAGATTAAATGCCATTGTTGTGTTTGCTGTCTGTTTCATGCCTGAAAGTAGTCAACCTAACTATAGATACCTGATGGACAATCTCTTTAAATATGTTATTGGCACTTTGGAGCTATTAATAGCAGAGAACTACATGATAGTTTATTTAAATGGTGCAACAACTCGAAGAAAAATGCCCAGTCTGGGGTGGCTCAGGAAATGTTATCAGCAAATCGATAGAAGATTACGGAAAAATCTAAAATCCCTAATCATTGTCCATCCTTGTTGGTTTATCAGAACACTTCTGGCTGTTACAAGGCCATTTATTAGCTCAAAATTCAGCCAAAAAATTAGCTACGTCTTTAATTTGGCAGAACTAGCAGAACTTGTCCCCATGGAATACGTTGGCATACCAGAATGCATAAAACAAGTTGGTCAAGAGCTTAATGGAAAGCAAGACGAACCGAAAAATGAACAGTAAGTTTGGCATCTAGTCCAAAGAAGACTGAAGAATGTGCTGATGAAGCAGTGCCGTTTTTGCATTCATAATGCATTTATTGGCCCATATTTTTATGTAACCTGTTACAAGATTGACTTGACTTTTCTTAATGGACTTTTGTGTTATGCAAGGGACTGTTCACTGCTGTACTGGTTTGCAAATCTCTTGAATTTAGCTCTTTAATAGCTAACTGTATTATCATTTTATATTTTATATTGCTAAATAGCAGAGAACCACACTTTATATACAACAGTTTTTGCATTTGTTTATTGAATGACGCATCATCTTCGGTGAAATATTTATATGCATAAAAGGCAAAGGAAAGAAATAATATATATTTTTATGTTTTTGAGCAATATTTTTTAACGTGTAACTGTCATGTGGAAGAAATATGCAGGTATATAAGAGCATGATTTTGTAAAGTGCATATTAGAATTTTTGTTTTTGTAAATGGTTAAATACATTTCCTAGGTAACTTAGAAAATTAAGTTTCTCATAAGGCAACGAACAGTTAAACTGATTCTCATGAATACCCAAAGATCATGTACATAATCAAAGTGTATTAGTACCATCCCAAGGTTTTTTTCTCATTTAACATACATCTTTCATAATTCAGCAAGTACAAATGCAGGCGCATTGCACACTTTTTTCTTTTTAAAGACAAGTCAAAAAGCCATTTTTAGAACTAGAGGATTTAAGACATTAGGAATGGGGGTTTGTAAATATGTATATATGGGTCATTTTATTTTCTGACCCAAAGTCAGAACTTTATAAAAATCTTGAGTTTGTTCACTAATATGAAATAAGCTGTGTGTCCAGGGTATTGCTCCCCTGAATGTGTGTGAGTGCTGTGTAGTATTGCAGAGAATATGATGAGTCATTCACTGTCACAACTTTTTCTGTAGAAAACAGGGGCTGCTTTTTAAACTGCTCTCACTGTGGGCATTTTACCAAAATACTTCCATATCAATTATTTGAACTCAGTAGTTGTTTGACCTAATTAGATGTGGTGTTTGTTCAAATTTCTATGAAATCATGTTTGACAATAGTGTAAATTAGGTTAATTCTGTAAGTCTTAGAGAGCATCATGATATTGTGCTGTTTTGGATAACACATTTGATACAAGCATTTAAATGGTTTCATTTGGTAAGTACCATTACATTGAAATAAATTGTATTTGTGCCTTAAAAAAAAAAACAATTATTGCTGTTAAATACTTATAGACATTAATTTACTGGGACTTTCAAAGTGGTGGTATTCTAATTCTAACACTTGCTTTTTTTTTTTTTTTTTTAAACAGAATCTTACTCTGTCACCCAGGCTGGAGTGCAGTGGCATGATCTCGGCTCACTGCAACCTCTACCTCCCAGGTTCAAGCAGTCCTCCTGCCTCAGCCTCCCAAGTAGCTGGGACTACAGGCCTGTGCCACCGTGTCCAGCTATTTTTTTTTTTTTGTATTTTTAGTAGAGACAGGGTTTCACCATGTTGGTTAGGCTGGTTTCGAACTCCTGACCTCAAATGATCCATCCACCTTGGCGTCCCAAAGTGCTGGGATTACAGGCGTGAGCCACTGCACCCAGCCTTCTAATTCTAACATTTCTATTTTGTTAGTTGAAATACTTCAATAAAGTGACACTTCTCTTCATCTATTATTTGGTTACCCAATGGTATAATTCATGTAGGAAAGGCAGGATAATTTTTTTTTTTTTTTGAGATGGAGTCCCAGGCTAGAGTGCAGTGACGCAGTCTTGGCTCATTGCAACCTCCACTTCCTAGGTTCAAGCAATTCTCCTGCCTTAGTCTCCTGAGTTGTTGGGATTACAGGTGTGTGCCATCACACCCAGCTAATTTTTGTATTTTTAATAGTGACATGGTTTTGCCATGTTGGCCAGGCTGGTGTTGAACTCCTGACCTCAGGCAATCCACCTGCCTTGGCCTCCCAAAATGCCGGGATTACAGACATGAGCCATTGCACCCAGCCTGGGAAAGGTAGGCTAAATTTTTTATCTTTTCCTTTATTGGTTTTCAAGGTAACATATCTGTTACTCAAATCCATTTTTGTGCTCACAATTTTTTTATCATTATGAACTCATGGATTTGATGAGTTCCAGTCTGTTGTGATTATGATCCTTATTGAAGCTTAAATTTGTCTCATATCTGGAATGGGAACAACTTCAAGTTTGTGGTTTTGATTTAATTCTAGTGTATTAATCTGTTTTCATGCTCCTGATAAAGACATACCCAACACTGGTCAATTTACAAAATAAAGAGGTTTAATTGGACTTACAGTCCATGTGGCTGGGGAAGCCTTACAATTATGGAAGGCAAGGAGGAGCAAGTTCCATCTTACATGGACAGCAGCAGGCAATGAGAGCTTGTGCAGGGAAATTTCCATTTCTAAAATCATCAGATCTTGTGAGACTCATTGACCATCACAAGAATAGTGCAGGAAAGACCCACCCCATAATTCAGTTACATCTCACCAGGTACCTTCCATAACACGTGGGAATTATGGGAGCTATGAGGTGAAATTTGGGTGGGGACACAGAGCCAAACCATATCATTCTGCCCCAGCCCCTCCCAAATCTCATATATTCACATTTCAAAACCAATCATGCCTTTCCAACAGTCCCCCAAAGTCTCAGCTCATTTCAGCATTAACTCAAAAGTCCACAGTCCAAAGTCTTTTTTTTTTTTTTTTGATGCAGTATGCAGTGGTGCAATCTCAGCTCACTGCAACCTCTACCTCCTGGTTCAAGTGATTCCTCTGCCTCAGCCTCCTGAGTACCTTTTCCAGGTACACAGTGCAAGCTGTCAGTGGATCTACCATTCTGGGGTCTAGAGGACAGTGGCCCTCTTCTCACAGCTCCACTAGGCAGTACCCCAGTGGGGACTCTGTGTGAAGGTTCCAACGCCACATTTCCCTTCCGCATTGCCCTAGCAGAGGTCTCCATGAGGGCCCCATCACTGCAGCAAACTTTTGCCTAGGCATCCAGGTGTTTCTATATAGCTTCTGAAATCTAGGTGGAGGTTCCCAAACTTCAATTCTTGGCTTCTCTGTACCCGCAGGCTCAAGACCATGTGGAAGCTGCCAAGGCTTGGGACTTGCACCATCTGAAGCCACAATTCAAGCCCTACATTGGTCACTTTCAGCCATGGCTGGAGTGACTGAAATGTAGGGCAAGTCCCTAGGGTGCACATAGCTCGGGGATCCTGGGTCCTCAGGTTTTTCTGAGGAGCCCACAAAACCTCCTAAGCCTCTGGGACCTCCAGGAGCTGCCATGAAGACCTCTGATATGCCCTGCAGACATTTTCTCTATTGTCTTGGGGATTAATATTTGGCTTCTTGTTACTTATGCAAATTTCTGCAGCTGGCTTAAATTTCTCCTCAGAAAATTGGATTTTCTCTTCTATTACATTGTCAGGCTACAGATTTTTTAAACTTTAATACTCTGTTTCCCTTCTAAAACTGAATGCTTTTTTTTTTTTTTTCTTTTTTTTTTTTTTTTTTTTTTTTTTTTGAGACGGAGTTTCGCTCTTGTTACCCAGGCTGGAGTGCAATGGCGCGATCTCGGCTCACCGCAACCTCCGCCTCCTGGGTTCAAGCAATTCTCCTGCCTCAGCCTCCTGAGTAGCTGGGATTACAGGCACACACCACCATGCCCAGCTAATTTTTTGTAGCTTTAGTAGAGACGGGGTTTCACCATGTTGACCAGGATGGTCTCGATCTCTTGACCTTGTGATCCACCCGCCTCGGCCTCCCAAAGTGCTGGGATTACAGGCTTGAGCCACCGCGCCCGGCTAACTGAATGTTTTAACAGCACCCAAGTCACCTCTTAAATCCTTTACTGCTTAGAAATTTCTTCTGCCACATACCCTAAATCATCTCTCTCAAGTTCAAAGTTTTACAAATCTCTAGGGCAGGGGAAAATTGGCACCAGTCTCTTTGCTAAAACATAACAAGATCACCTTTGCTCCAGTTCCCAACAAGTTCCTCATCTCTATCTGAGACCACCTCAGCCTGGACCTTATTGTTCATATTGCTATCAGCATTTCAGGCAAAACCATTCAACAGATTACAAACTTTCCCACATTTTCCTATCTTCTTCTGAGCCTCCAAACTGTTCCAGTCTCTGCCTGTTACCCAGTTCCAAAGTCGCTTCCACATTTTCAGGTATCTTTTCAGCAACACCACACTCTCAGTACCAATTTACAATATTAGTGTGTTTTCATGCTGTTTATCAAGACATACCCAAGACTGCTCAATTTATAAATAAAGAGGTTTAATTGGACTTACAGTTCCACATGGCTGGGGAAGCTCACAATCATGGGGGAAGACAAGGAGGAACAAAGTCCTGTCTTGTTTTGATGACAGCAGGCAAAGAGAGCTTGGCAGGGAAATTTCCATTTTTAAAACCATCAGATCCAGTGAGACTCATTCATTATCATGAGAACAGCAGAGGAAAGACCCACCCCCAAAATTTAATCACCTCCCACCAGGTCCCTCTCACAACATGTAGGAATTATGAGAGCTACAAGATGAAATTCATGTGGGGACACAGAGTCAAACCAAATCACTTAGTAATCTTTGATAGCTTTCTTGCTAACTAGTATGACAAGATGTTCCAGGATCATCTTGCCCATTTCCTGGAATGAACAATTTTTTTAAGAAGACTTGGTTTCTTTAAGAAGAGTGGCAAATGTTAATTCAAAACCACAATCTGGTTATCTGTGTGCCAGGGTTGCTCGTTATTATTGGATTGGTTATTTTTCTAGTCTTGGTGGACAGGACTAAGATAAACATCCATACATACACATATAAGTACATCTCTCAGGTTCATATTAATAATTCCATTTCAAATTTAGTGCTACAGAGTTTTTATGACCTCTTCTATAATCTATATTACTTCCTCTCTTCTGTTTGAGAATCCGGTTCTTGAAGACACAGGGGATAATAGTAATAATAGAAGCTTTTAATGTATCAGTCAGTAACTCATAGATCATACAGATTTTTAAAAATGCAGTAATATAGAATATTTGAACATAATTAGTAATCTTGATTTAATGGGAATACTTAAAACATTGCATCTCAAACTGAAGAATTCATGTATCCATCAGAGTTTTGACAGGAAACATGGCACATTTGAAGAAGGATAATGCTATGAGGGCTTATTGTATAAAGGAATACTTACAAGATATAGATATAGGCAAACATCTAGGGATAGTTCAATAATGTCAAGCTTAATACCTGTAGTAGCCAAGATGCCACCACCCCTAGGCCCAAAGATACAAGAAAGGAGGTTACAATTTGAAAGGAAATAATTTTGTAGAATTAGCTATCTTAAGAGGAATAATAGCCTTTTGTCAAGAGACACAATCAGGTGACCTTGTAGGGAGAAATTCAGGGGAATAATTACCCTGAGGTTTTATTCGTCTCTCCAATGTCTTGTTTGGGATCCTTCACTTGGATTACTTACTGCAATATCCTCCTAATTGATGTCTATGCTTCTTCCACTGTTGTATTCGGAACACAGCAGCCAAACTTATCCTGTTAAAATAGAAGGCAGATCAGGTCACTCATTACTTCAATATCCTTCAACAGTTTCCATCTCACTCAGAATAAAAGTCAAAGTCCTTTTTACAACTCACAAGGTCCTTCGTGATCTGATCTCCTTTCATTATCACTGCAATCTTAATATTTTCTCCTCCCATATTGGGCTCCTGCCACACCTATCTCAAAGCCTCTGTGCTTGATATTCCATCCATTGTAATACATTTCCTGCAAATATCTGCTTGGCTCCTTTGGATACTGTCCTCCCTGGCCACAGGGAAGATTCCAGCCATCCCCACCATACCCATTCCCTACTTTCTTTCCTTTTTCTTTTTTTTTTTTTGAGATGGAGTTTCACTCTGTCACCCAGGCTGGAGTGCAGTGGTGTGATCTCAGCTCATTGCATCCTCTGCCTCCCAGGTTCTAGCGATTCTCCTGCCTCAGCTTTCTGAGTAGCTGAGATTACAGGCATATGCACTTTGACCGGCTAATTTTTTGTGTTTTTAGTAAAGATGGAGTTTCTTCATGTTTGCCAGCCTGGTCTCAAACTCCTGACCTCAAGTGATCCACCTGCCTCGGCCTCCCAAAGTGCTGGGATTACAGGCATGAGCCACCACTCCTGCTCCCTACTTTATTTTTCTATTC